ATATGTGAAAATTTCCTTATTCCGTTTTAATGAGGAAGCAGTTGTCTATGATATTAAAGATATTGGTTTCAATTAATTGGCAGGAATACTGGGAAAAAGTTAGAAAAGTCATCCGTTTTGATGTTAAAGACTATTAAAAGCTTCGTGATTTCAAATTTTCTAAAAGTTCCTTGGGGTACAGTAAATATCTACATTTAAATTAATTTGTCTTTAATAGAATTATGATAAACAAAATTCTTCTGAGGAATTTTTCTCAACAACTAATTTTCTGTAAATAAAACATTGTATTCGTGAGGGTTCTAACCATAGCAATATAAATTCTGGGTAACGTTTTCCTTTGATATTTACATCCCAACCAGTATGCTACAGAACCCCAGATATTCAGTAATATTTCGTTGTCTTTTTGTTTGTTTGTTTCTTTTTTTTGGGGGGGGGGGGGGTATATGGCCTTTGACTGAATGGACTTCAAGCCTTTCTCGAAAAGATGGTTGTTTTGTCAGAAAGGTGCATTTTTAAAGATAGGGGGTCTTTACTCCATGTCTTTTTTTTATAATAATTTATGTTTTTATGCAAAATTGCAACTTTTCAGGATAAAGTTTCAGAAAATGAAGCAAAGACCTCCTCGTTTTGAAATTTTTATGTTATGCTACGAGAAAGTGATCCTTTCTGTCCTCTTTAAATTGTATGTTAAAGTGATTTTATGGGAAATCATTTCATTCATTTTGATATTTTAGCAAATTATAGTAATTTCTCATAAAATATCATTTACTTTCATGTTAGATGTAATTCTTTATCAACAAAAAATGTTGTACTTGAGATTTCATCTTTCACTTTCATGTTTCTTACACTATTGACATTTCGTTCGCCTTTCATCTTTTTTGTTCCTGTTATCGCAGTCGTCAGTCACTTAATATTGTCTCTTACTTTCTTTAGATCTTGAATACTGTTCGTTATCCCCATGTGTTTCATACACCCCATGAAATGTATAACCTTTCAGTTGAATTATGCAGGAATTATACATAATGTGATGATAAATGATAATTTCATTTCATTTTTCATGTATTTGTTGGATAAATTTGCGGAAATTGCATTATTTGCTTTGATCAACTCATTTTTATATCAGAAATCGCATCCATAGATACATATCTTTGCTCATTTTCCCATTGTCAATAGGAGTATCAATCGACTGTCCTATTTTGCATGATAATGCCCCTTTTCTGATTTTTTTTACCACAATTACTGTTTCTGATTGTAATATACATTATTTCATAAAATAGTGTCAAATTTCACACGTAATTTCAGACAGATAAAAGGTTGCTTGCATCAGAAGTATTAAGATATATTAACATAAAAATCTGGCCAGGCACTCAAAATAATCAAAAAGGAATCAAAATAAAATACAAATAATTGTGGCACATAAAATTAGCATTTTAGATCCGGAAGCAATTTCGCTTAAAACGAGAATATTTTTATAATATAAGCCTGTCATATGCAATTAAGAGCGGATGTACATAGGCCTTGCCTGTTGCCCAATCCTTGTTATGTTATCCAATGAAATATGCTAAAGTAATAAGAGCCTTGTCCAATTTATTTTGTGGTAATAGCTTGTAAAATTTCTGAGCATTATTCACACATTCATTGATTTCTCTTTTTAATTTGTACTACATAAATAATTTTGATATATACACTATAATTTCTTTCTCAATATATTAGGCATATGTAGATATCTTTTCCTTCATAAAGCAAGTTTTGATGTACTTTTCATTTGTTTGTTAAAATAAAGTGCAAGGTAAATCTGCAGTGACATTGATTAATGTAATAGTGAATAATGACAGCAAAAAAGTAACTTCTTTTGCCATATAAGCAGTTTTAACTCTTATTTTCCAGACATTTTTATAATTAAAATGACCTGTCTGGCCCAATCATTATTTACACGATATATATACGTTTTTCTTTTTTCCTTAAATTCTGATATGTATTTAATTCTGCCACGTTTTAATGGTTTTTAAATTACCTAATGATTAAGAAACACGTTTCACGAAGATAATGAGCAGGTTTCTGTCAAAACACATTTGCTGGGGTTATTTTATATGGAATTCAGCTAATGTTTAAGCGAGTGATTAATCAAATAAACAACCTTGGGACGCACCATATGCGAATTTGTAAACATGTCAAATGTTCAATTTCTTGAATTTATATCAAAAACATAAATCATTTAAACAAATATATTCAAAAAAGTTGCTTTATGTTGCGTCTGATTCTTCTATTTAATCGCATGCAAATCAATGGGTTTTTTTTTCAGATTGGACAGTTGAAACTCACAGGAATAAGGTAACAGCCACAAATTATTATCTTCTCCATTTCTATACAATGTAGCTGATAGAAAAATCAATTCATGCATGAAATACATGGCGATAACGAACCGTATACAAGCTCAAAAGTCCATTAAAAACAAAAACGGCCTAGAGCAAACACGGACCTCCAAAACAGCAGAGGTGGGATCAGGTGCCATGGTGGAGTGAACATCCCCTTCCGTCCGGTCACACCGCCGTGTGCTCCTTAACATGATTGGGAAATAACGGAAAAATCCGTCGACAATTCAGTGTGTGCATAAAGGCCAAACAATAAGTTTGAGAACGTCGGTCAACATTTGACCTAATGATAATTTGTATTTGCTGACAAGGTCATTGTATCGACCACAGAACCTTCAAAATAATGACTATAAACGTGACTGTTGATATTCTCGTTTCACGATTTGTTTGTCAACGAATAACTACGTTTTAAAAATTGTTTATACAAAGAACGTGTATCAATCAGCTGAGAGATATAAACTTCGTATGCTTTTGATTAAGGAATATTGCTGAATAAGTAAGGGAAATTGACGATTGTAAGGTTAAAATCATCTCGTTTGTCATAAAGCTTGGTTGTTAGATTACCATCAACGTCTTACTCAACTAAAATATAAAAATATGAAACAGATGTGGGAAATTGTGGTATCTTTAATTTCAATTTCATTGGGATATATCGTATCTTCACGTAAGCACACTTCGTTGACAAGGGATTTTTCCCTTGTTTCCCGATCATGACAAGAAGCACATGGCAGGTGTGACCGGTCGGCGGGAGGTGCTCGCTCCTCCATGGCACCTGATCCCACCTCTGATGTTTTGGAAGTCCTCGTTTGCTCTGCTCCTGTTTTGTATTGTTTTATGGACTTTTGAGATTGAATGTTGATCGTTATCTCGATATATTTCATCGATATACTAATGGAAATAATCGTTGTTAATTGATGAGACATTGTCGATATACCCAAATGTCAAGTTGAAGGCCACGGCAAGTGTTTTCTTCTTTTTACGTATAATTTTGGGACAAATTCTGCTTCATATGACTATTCAAATAGTATTCCAAAAGTATTCCAATGAAAAAATTACTTGTTTGATAGAATTTCTAAAAGCCTACCTTAAAGGACATAAAGAATAAATCTAATTTCTATCCATATCATCGCTCTAAAACTTTTACCATGAAGTGTACATCCTTGACTGAATACATACATTTGTATGTATTTGATTAACAACATCCATAACTGTTCTTGTCTTGTATACACATCTTTAATCAAGATGTGCCCATGACTGAACATGTGCCCGATTGACAGCCTGATTACAGCAAGATTAACTGATCTTGTCCAGCATACACTCTTTTTTTCTACATCCATGACTGTTTCTGTGTCTGTATCCAACAGTAAAGGATGTCTTGCAGTAATTAGAGCGAGTGGTGGTCGTACTCCATAAAGATTATTTTGTGTGAATTTTCATTTTGAAGGTACATCATTTCATTGACACTTTGCTTTAAATTCTGACGAGATACTTTCATGAAATTTACGGAACATCGAATTGAAATAGACATCATCAACCAGGAATTAAAGAAATTATTTATTGTATGCATTTGTTCTTTAAAACTTAAAAAATGTTAGGTGAACACTTGGAAGTTTGGTTCAGTGTATATGATGAGTTGTTTGAAATAAATATCAATAATGTAGCTGTAAATTGTTTACGTATCGGTCACATTATTCAGAGATTGGGAATGCGATGAGAAACCGATGCGTTTTTAGCCGGGCTTATTGCTCAAAGAGCAATTGCCGGCTTATGTCATCCTGTTCAAGGCAGGAAGTCAACCCCATAGTCGCCATTTTAAAGTTACGAGTAAAAATATAGTTCTTGCTCTCAACCGCTTTTGAGATAATACAAACGCTAAATAAAGAAAAAAAATAAAATGAAGTTTTATCTTAATAAAACATAAGTAGTTATGACTTTGAAAACTTCAGTTCTAAGTCAAAGAACATAGTTCATTAACGTAAGGATTTTTGATAATCAGTGTCATCGTAGTTCTCTACACATACGAGGTAAAGCAGGAGAGGGAACCAGACTGGCCTGTCTGTTTACATTCAGCTGTGGTAACAGATTCTGACAAAATCGGACCGTGGTATAATGATCGAAAAACTCACTGTCAGTGTCTTATCATTTATATTGATAGTTTTAAAATAATTTTTTTCATCAGAATATAAACGTATGATTCATGTAAGAAATCCATTCTGCTCCGTAAATGAGCCTGCTCTCTGTACTTCTGAGTACTTTGATTGGATAAAAGTGGCGTGGTTGCCGGCCGGACACATATAGACTGAGGCCATTTGGCGAACCGGTGGGGGTCATCGGTAGAAAATAAGTTGCATTCAAAAATCAGCGATGTCTCCACCGATGTCCCTCATCGCTCCTTATCGGCAACCCATCATTAACACATCTTTCAAGGATTAGCGGATGTATGGCCGAGTATGGTAAAGTGTCCGTTGAATCCGATTTCTAGTTTTAACGAGAAATTAGCAGTCACACCAAGTAACTCCACAACAAATGAAAAGACCATTATATCGCTGATGTACACATCTGCACATGTCATTTCTCCAGGGCATTTGTATTTGCATTTAAAATAATTTAAATTATTGGTTGAAATTGGAGCTGGCGTTGACAGTGATATTTAGTATTGGTGTTTAATCTTTGCAACTGTTAAATATTTTGAAGGAAAATTTGTAAGATGAATGTGGATAAATCGCAGTTGTTGGGATATACTAGGAGAAAAAAGAAAAACGGGAAAGGTACGTGCTGTTCCGTCTAATGATTGTTAAATGCGAAATGCAACTACTTACAATAAAATCAATAACAAATTGTTTTTAATCTTTTAAGTTTTGTAATATGGAAGATTTTCAATTACTTAATGGGAACTCTGATTCATGAAATTTATGTTATTGATAACTTTGTCTTATTTTAATTTTATTTTTATTTAAACAGGCGTACTTAAAAAAATAAAATAAAATAACAACAATCAAAACAGCAACACTTAAAAAGTTTTTGTTAAATTATTTTAATTCTGATTAATTAATTTTAATTAATTTAATTTGTTTTATTTTGATTTATTTATCACTTCCACCTTGCAATTGATCAATACTTATGAAATGTCTGATTTTTGCTTTGAATATAATCTTGCTTGCTTTAAACATAATTGACATTCGACATTTACTTTATACTATTTTTTCATAAGTATTGGAAAGCAAAATCTTTGAAAAGGCACTCAAACAAATCAGAGGAATTCTTCAAAACGCTGGCTGTGTGTAAGTATTAAAATTAAATTAGATTCACTATACATTATTTAGGTTATCAATTTAAATATAAGTGTATGAGAAAAAGTGCTATTTAAAAAAAGGATGTCAGTTATTCATCCTTAAAAAACAATAAATAAAAAGTTTTGCTTTGCTTCAATTTATCAAAGAGGATGAAAGAAGTCGTATCAATGATTATATGTTATTGATTAGAAGCAAAAATTCATTTAAAAAAATAATACTGACAGTGTGCACCTCTGATTAAAGCAATACATTTTAAAATATAAGGACATTGAGAAAATGTGCCCTTTTTGTTGATATACTTAATATATTGTACATATTTTATTTATTTATTTTCAGAAATATGAATCAGGATGTTCTGCATGTACTTACTCTATGGATTGATTATATCAGGAAACTTAAGAGTGAAAACTCGAGAATAGAGACAATAATCAAAAATTATTCTCGGATAGACAACATCTTTCAAAATATGAATAAACGAATAGAGGTTAGTTTTTAAAATCTATGAAATTTTAAAAATATTTTAAAAGAAATAATTTGGAAAAATTGAAGTGCATTCTAGTTCTGAAGTAGTAACGAAACGTGAACATATAAGGATTTGGTTTTATTCCCATATCTTTATTTTGTGACAACTCATTCTCACCAAATTCACATGACTTCTAATGAAACATTCAAGTACTTATTTCAGAATCTGTAATTCTCCCAAATATAATGAATAAAAATGTTATCTTTTTTTTATTCTTAACAGTTAATTCAACGACACAGAGTGTAATTATTAAGTTTTTTCATCATGTACGTTATTTTTCGGATGAACAGTATTGCTCATGGACATCTTGTTATTAAATGATTGAATATGACCATTTGAATTACATCGTTTCTGAACGAAGTCAACACATACATTCAATTCACAAATTTATCTGTTATTTACCATACTAAGTATTAATATTAAAAATTATATTGTTATTTTTGTTTTCGCTTTAAAATGCAAAAGGAAAAAAATACCATTATGGTAAAATGTTTCTAATGAGAAAACTGTGTGCTATTTTAATTGAAATACATTTGTAACTAATTGTTAAAATGAACCATGTAACTTAACAGCGATATGTTATTCGTGGTCGCGGTGTGCATATTGTATTTTTAAAAAAAGATGTTCAACTCTTATTCTGAGATCCGCGTAATGTAACTTGTTATTTTTTTTTTTGAATAATTGCTTCCTTTTTTGACTTTGGAAAGAAAATAAAGTGACTTGAAGAATTTGCATAGGATAAACTTACTCTTTTTTTATATAGATTTCTAGGTCATTTGTCATTTTTTCAAAATCTGTCATCTTTTCAGATGCTAGAGATGCAATGGAAAGAGGATGAGTTCACAGGAGAAAGCATCTAGATGATCGTGTTTCTCTTAAGAAAGCTTGATTTTTCATTTATTGCACATGAATGAATTTTTCAACTGAAATATGACTAAATACTAGACTATATGTCAAGTTTAAAGCAAAAATCAGAATTGTTAAGAAAGTAATCATGTCACCTCAAGTAAAATATCTTTCATTTAATGCAATTGATATACTGAATCAAAGAACACTGACACTTCAAACCTTTTTTTTTCAAATTTGTTGAATTTACAAAGGTATTACTATTTTGTTACGTATAAATGACAATTTCTAAACTGTACAATTTTCTTTCATATGGATTTACTAGATGCAATACCATAAATACATGTACATGTATGGGTTTGATTTTAGACCGAAGAAGATTATTCATGATTTCCACATTCATTCATCATTCTATGCTCAATGTTTTGAACATGGATGGATTTTAATATATAAAATTGTCAAATCGTCAATACTCTAGGAAACAAGAGCAAATTATCATAAGCCAAATTAAACCCTAAAAAACGTTCTGGCTTCAAAAAATTGTTTCTAAGAACACTCTTTTTTCGAAAGTTATTGCCGCTTATTGTTATCACTGCATTTGGTGTTTTATCTTTAACAAATCGTTAGAAAGAGCACCCGCATCTTTGCTAGCCAAGGGTTTCCGATATGAAATCTACTGTAGAGTAGATTTCGGATCGGAAAGCCTTGGCAAGCGAAGACGGAGCAACCGCTAAACAATGTTGTTAATGTTTCGCCCGCGTGGCGCATTGATTAGAGCGTCTCCTCTAGAGTCGCAAAGTATGGAGTCAATCCTGAAGTCGCGGGTTCGAATCCCACTATTGGACGTGGAGACTGGTCCTTTGGATGAGACTGTAAAAACCAAGGTCACGTGTTGTACAAGGTGTTAGAATGAAAAAGATCCCGCACGGCATAACAAACCTCAGCGTTGCACATTTGTTAAAAAGTTGCAGCTCTCAATTAGCAAGTGGTGGCGTCCCCATATTAGTAAAAAAAAATCTCGAGAGGGACTTTTAACAACATGAAAAAAACCAAACAAACATAAAGTTTATTTCAACATATAACCTAAGTTAATGTTGCAGGAATTTCAACAATATTTAACTTTTCATCGTGTTTTATTTTGGCCGATTTTATATACATTGTTAGGCCTTTGCTTTGAACTAAATTTGACTATGGAATGCTTCATTCACTTGATAAATATATAAGACCATTCAACATGGGATGTTTACTTCTCCTAGGCTCTTATCCCTCCTCTGGAATGTCTTAGACATCTCTATGTTATGTTCAAACATTTTGAATCGCTCGTATTCTTTTGAGATCGATCAATGTTATCTTCAATCGTTTTCATGTGCAATGAATAAATAAAAATAATTAGATATTTCAATTAAACGCATAACTTAGAAGCTACAATGAATTGAAATTTTTCATTACACCAGCAATTGTTGCAAATCACTGGTTCTGCTCTAGGCATCCTATTCTCATCTCAGATTATAATGGCCACATTTAATTCGTTGTTTTCGAGGATGCTTAGGTATTAACTTAATTAAGAAATTGAGATAGCTATTGTAAATCTTATTTCATTTATTTACTTCACATGTTTTATTCAAATAACATAATTGATGAGGTATGCTAATTTAATATTTCGGTGTTTCTATGTTCATCAAATGAATTAAATATTTCTTAATCTAATTAATAAAGTAAATTAAATTGCATTATTAAATTATTTTATTTATTAATGTTTTACTGAAGTATATTTTCAGTGTATCATGTTACAAGATGAAATTACTATAATCCTTTTTTATGAATTTATATCAGTATAGTTTATAATATGATACATCAATGAAATAGTGGAGCTAACTTATAAAATTCAAGCTCAAAGGTGGGATCAGGTGCCATGGAGGAGTGAACATCCCTTGCTGACCAGTCACACACGCCGTTTGTCCCTTGTTATGATCGGGAAATAAAGGGGAAATATGTCGACAATTCAATGTGTATATAAATTAATTAATCAATTAGAATGAAAAACGTCAGTAAGCATTTGACTTCATGAAAAATTATATTCGCTGAAAATGTCATTGTCAACCTCAACCTGACTACTTTAAGGATATGTTGATTATATTTTTCTTTTTAATTTCACAAATGCATAATACTTTTTTTAGCCCTTGAGTGCATTTAAAGTAAAAATACAATATATTTTGGAAACGTATTTGATATAAAATCTAATACGAAAGAAAAAAATCAATTATTCACAAATATCTAAATCATATTCTGATATTCTGAAATGCTGGGGGGGGGGGGTGTTATAATTTACTTTTATTATGTATAGTCCTTTAAATATTTTTTTTTTTTTTGAAAACTCCAACTTCAAGAATAAATTGTCGATATGCTAAAACACAAAGATATCATTTTAATTTTCACAAAATGATACATTTAATATACTTAAAGAAATTTTGCATTGACTACATTTTGGTCCTTTGCCTTTTAAGTGTATTTGTTAAACAACACAAATTACTGTAACTCCTAAAGGACCCTTTCTATACCAGTGCAAAATGTTTTTTAGACATTGAGAAAATTAAATTGAATAAATATGTAAATAGTGATCTTATCTATTTAATTTTCAATATATGATACGTGGCATTTACCCCCAGGAAAAAAATATTCAAACACAACACAGTATCAGTAAATAGAAATCAGTGTTGTTTACTTCCATGGGGAAAATACATGTAAATAACATTGTTTAATTAGTTTACCTTGGTCTTTAAATGTTTTGAATGCTTGAATTAATTAAACATTGCGAAATATACTGTAAATTTCTTTTATTGCAATTTAAATCTCAAAGCAGATTAGCCTGTCTGCAAAAAATTATAATGAAGAATTAGAATTCTTTATTATGCAGTGTAGAGAGGGTTCTTAAATTCATTCCAGTGAAAATTTGTCAACAAACTCTCAGTACGATTTGATGATTAGGTGTGTTCCCATTTCGCCTTCACTGTGAAATACATGTAAGAAAAAGTTAAAAAGTACTAAGGCGAAATGGAAATTTTGTTATTTGTAAATATTATTACTAGGTTGATATAAAAATTTGAATGATAGAAAATTTTAGATTGAATTTAACAATTAATGGGAATTTATGAATACTGTGAATGAAATAATACATGTAGAACCAAAAATACTTTATGCAAATTATTTAAAATCTTCAGCACCTTATTCACCTAAGAGCTTACTAAGGCGAAATGGGAATGCTAAATTTTCCAGTTAAGGCGAGATGGGAACAAACCAATGATTATATAACCTTCTGATTTTTATTTTGTTCTTCCTTGAAAACCGAATGAATCTAATCAACGTTCACTTATATCAGTCACTCAGGTAGAGTTTTATAATCAAAAATTAGCATGTCCTACTTAACAGAAAACCTGATTTCTTAATTTAGTGTATATGACAGTGGCATGTATCATGATTTTGAATTAAAACGATAGATAAGCTATAGCTCATGTAAGTGTTTGTCCTTTAACAAAGGTTGTTGAGAAGTTTTAATTTCTTTCATTTTATGATTTAAATCATCACCAATAAACTGCCAATTTAAAAATTCATGTATCTTCAAATCTATAATTATGAAGAAGGCTAATTCTTATTCTAATTCTATTTTTCTTTAATACATGTTAGAGCTGATGAAAATTGTTAGCTTTATTTCAACATTGACAAATATAGATATAGAAAACATTGATATTGATTTCTTTTCCTTTCTTTAAGTCTAACTTTTATTCTTTTTTGAACCGTCAATTTAATTGAAAATACGTCAAATAAAGAAAATTAAATTAATTAATAGCTATCTTTAGAGTGTTTTTTTTTTGTTTTTTTTTTTTTTGTTGTTGTTATTATTAGCATAGATTCAAAGTTTGTTCGTAGATATCTTAAAGTAGTTTGTTGATTTTTACCATGGTATTATTATGAACAGAAAACAGTTTTACGTCTTGCTAATCAAGTCCACAGGCGATTGTACCTCAGCTTTTGAGGCTATCTTAAACATGACATATATCTGTTTAAGACAAGAAAAGCTTGATTTTCATTGAAATTGTAAAAAAAAAAAATTAATTGATTTTTTAAAACTGAAATCACAGTTTTGGGGAAAAGGTAAAATCTACTGTTAAAATGTAATTATTGAAAATTGTAAATATTTATCAAAAAACACCACATAATTTATCACGTTGCTTATTTGACTGGTGAATAGCCGAATTCATTTCAAGGTATTTAATTTATTTTATTTGATGAATAGTATTTATTGTTAGGTAGTTTCCCTGGACCAGTGGTTCTTGGGACGATGATTTTTAATGACCCACTATTTTTATTTTTCTTGATTATCTCTTCTTCGTAAGAGGGATTGGTCCTTAGTTTTTTACAATCGAAAGTTCACTTTACTTAAGATGCTTTGTACCAGATTTGGTTGAAATTGGCCCAGTAGTTTTTGAAAAGAGGCAAAATGTGAAAAGTCAGACAGACGGGCGGACAACGGGTGATCAGAAAAGCTCACATGGGCTGTCAGTTCAGGTAAGCTAAAAACATTTGACGGAAATGTTAATACATCTTGTCTCTTGTCTACTTTTTTGGAAGTTTACTGTACACTGATCTTTCTCTTGCTTATTTATTAAATGAACAGGAAATGCAATTCTCAAAAACAGAAGATGTAATCTTCATTTTTGAACTGAAATATTATTGTAACCTTTCGATTCTTACAGCTCGGTACTTTTTGTTTGACATTTTTTCCTTGTTTGAATAATGTAATGTTGTAAATCAAACCAATTTTTTTCTGGTTCTACTTTCTGTTCACCCTTGCTTTCTTTTAAATCATTCTGTAAAAAAATATGTTTTATTCTATATCTTTTGTGTATTGTTTAGCAAATTAAGCAAGCATATTATTTCCTTAAAAATACTTATGGGTTCTCTCGAAATATCTAGTCAGTCACTTACCAAATTAAATGGTTATAGATTATGCAGCTGTCTGAAAAGAAAAGAAAATTAATTCAGGAGCAATATATTAAGACTAATAGAATCTGAAGGTCAGATAGAGATATAATCATTAACAAATGAATTATTTTCAATAAAATTATTAATGTTTCTAACACTCTTCTTCAGTTTTTACAACTACAGACTTCGAAGGTCCCTCTGGATTATACCAGTCAAGGTGTATTTTGGAACTTATGTAATTACTGCACATTTAACAGCATTAAAGTACAGTGCCATGAGTTCAAAAATATATGTAGACATATATTTATATTAA